TCAAGAGCTACCAGGATGCCCAGTGTTCCTGGGTGACGGGGTGTGGGGTGCCTGTCAGGGCGGGCTGAGGCAGTGGAGGGGTGGAGGCACGCACAGGTGTGTGAGTGAGCGAAGTCCTCTGAGAGCATTCTTAGAGATGGAGCCAATCTCATTGTCCTCGATGAAGCTGTGGAGGGAAGAGGGGATGAGGGAGAGCCACTCGGTTTCCTGTGTGGGCTCACAGCTTTTAGGAGCACTTGTCCCTGGAAGCCATAGGCTACTGCAATGTGTTGAATTCTCTCTCAACACTTGGCATAATCTTAGGGGAAGCCTCCCCAGAAACTTCTTTTCACCAAGGTCCCAGCCTACAATCCCAGGAGCCAAGAACCTTACCCTGCGGTCACTGGCGGCCTCACAGTGAACACTGCCACCACCATCACCACCGCCACTGCTGCTACGATCACCAACACCAGCTCTGGCACCAGTATCACCACCAATACCTCCACCATCATCCATTATAATCATCACCCATGCCTCTCCTGTTGTCATCAACCCCAGTACCAATAACTGCCATTATCACCAACGCTGTAGCATGTCACCAACACTACCACCATCATTGCCAACACCAACATCACCACTCACTCCCATCACCAACACCAACACCATCAACGCCTACCCCCATACCAGCAACCCTGATAAGCGTCATCAGCCACACGACCTTCATGATCAACACCAAAATGACTGCCACCATCGTTACCAGTACCACCACCATTATCACAGACATCAGCACTAGCACCAGCATAGCCAGCACCAACGTCACCATTACCCCCATCACTCACCTCCTCACCCACCACGAGCACCACCGCCACCACAATTTTAATGCATACAAAAACCTCCACCATCATCGCCAAACCTAGTACCAACAACACTTCTATTACACCAACACCAACATCCTACCTGCAACCATTACCCGCACAGACACCAATACCAATATCAGAATTACCAGTGTCCATTACACAGATAATTTTCACTAACACCAACCCCTCAAACTTCATCATCAATATCACTGACAGCATCATCACTGTTGGGTCTGCCTTTTTTTTATCAACATCATCCTCAATAATGCCACCACTTACTCATGAGCAGCAGCAACAAGGTCAGCACGGCCACTATCGCCATCAACACTAACATCGACACTGGTGTCATCATTGCCATACTATCAATCACCACCACCACTCACCACCATCGCCACCACTACCATCACCACATAACTCAGAGCTGTTTCTTGTTAATTTGAAACATTTCCTGTCTCTGGCCTCTATGCACCTTCCCTGGGATCCCATAAGTCAGGTAGGGCCAGAAACAGCCTTGGGTTATCAAGGCCCTCTGTGGATCTTTAAGTACAGAGAGGTGAGGTGAGCAGGCTGAGATTACACAGCTGAGCAGGAGCCCTGACCCTGCCCAAGAGGCCAGTCCCCTTGCCCATCAAGGAGAGACTCTTGTCCAGACACTTCCTCCCCAGGCCAAGAAGCCCCTACCTCCTCCTACTTTAGGAGCCACATAGGACCCCGCCTTCCTTTCCCAGGCCCCCATTCCTGCCCCATCCCCCGGTCTCACTCACAGGTACTGCAGGTGGGACAGGCCAGCAAAGGCATCATCCTCAATCACGGAGAAGGAGTTGGATGTGAAGAGGCTGGCAAAGGAGCAAGAAAGAATTTTTCCAGAGTTGCTGGCCTCTATCTGACATTTTAACCTTGGCCCCCACCCTTAGCCCACATGGGCATGGTCACACACACACACACACAAGTATGCGATGTGAGTAAGTGCGTGGACACAGATGCTTTCACAGACACACACATACACATATATGTGCACACCCCCCACATGGACGTGCATGAACACCCACTCCCTTGAGCTAGTTGTCGGCTCAGCTGGGTCCCACTCACAGCAGGTGCAGTGACGGCAACCTCAGGAAGCTGCCGGCCTTCAGCTGGGTGACTCCAGTTCTAACGAGCGAGCTGGGGACATGGGCAGTTGTGGGTGAGGAGGAAACCACTTCAGCGCTGCAGCCCTATCCCAGAGCCGTCACCTGTCTGGGGGACCTTGGCATGGCCCCCTACCCTGGGTGTGTGTCCCCTACATCCCAGGGGGACACTTTTGCCTTCTTTGCCTGGCAAGGGTCCTGGCAGCACTCAGTCCACTGTCCCGGGCTGTTTCTCCTCCCGGGCCCCTCGTGCTGCCCCTGCCCTTTGGAATTTCCCGTCTTCTCCCTTTCAGATCCCAGCAGCCCCCTTTCAGGCATCCCAACATCCTTTGCTGCCCACCTCCCAAGATCCTCACAGGCCCCTGTTTCCTTGGAGACCCCAGTACCCTGCCCCCAACCCCTGGGGTCCCAGAACTCCCGTCTCCACCCTCAGGCCCCCAAAGGGTCTGACACTCACAGCGACAGCAGGGTCGGGGAGAAGCTCTCAGGCAGGTCCGGGGAACCTTCACACAGGGCACTGTCTTTGGAGCAGGAGCAGCTCAGAGGACATTTTCCTTTTGGGGGTCTCCAGGCCACCCCTGCCCCAGCCTCTGCCAGCAGCAACAGCAGCAGAATGCCTGCCCCTCCCATGCCCCCTCACCCCAGCAGAGGCACCAGCTCCTCTCTGCCCACCCAGCTCCGCCCAAGCTGTGGACACTACATCTCCCATGCCAGGCGACCCTCCATCCCGCCAGCTGGCACACTCTGCCCTGGCTCCTCGCTCCCCTGTCTGTTCTCTCTTTCAATCTGTCTTTCTTCCTATATCTCTTTGGCGTCCAATTTTCCGTTTATTTCTCTTTCCCGTTCTTTCTCTTTCTGTATTTCTGACTCAGTGAGTTACTCTGTTTCCTACTCTCTCTGTCTCTATTTCTGTCTTTGTCTCTTTTTCTATCTCTGTTTCTCTGTCTCTCAGTCTCTGTCAGCCTGTGTGTGTGTGTGTGTGTGTGTGTGTGTGTGTGTGTGTCCCTCTGTCTTTATTTCTTGTCTCCCAACCCCCCTTTCTAGCTCCCTGTATGTTTCTTCCCTTCCTCCCACGCCCCTTGTCCCTAGAGGTTTGGGAAAGGGACTCACTGGGCACTGGGTGTGCCCAGCAAAGCCGGGTAAGAATGAGGAGGGGGTCAGAGGCCATAGGAAGAGCAGCTCTGGGAAAGGGAATGGATGGTCCCATGGGAGGGGAAGGGAGAGGAGGGGCCATTAAGAATGGAGTACCCTGGCCACTCCCAGCAAGCCCCCTGCCTAGATTCCCCACTCAAGGAGTGTGAGGAGGATGTCACCGGGGTGGGGACCGGATGGCTCTGCAGGCAGGAGGGGGATGGGAAGAGAGACCACTGGGAGCTGGAGCCGCCCTGGACACTCCCAGATAGCCCCCTCCCTTGGCTCCAGGAGGTTGTCCGGGGCACTGTCACCAGGCGTGGAGGAGCCAGCTCAGGTCCAGATGCTCCCTCTAGTGGCCATACTAGGCAGCAAACTGCTCTGCCCCAAACCCATAACCTCCCTTGCCTGCCCAAAATTAACCCCTTTAGCGTCTACCACCCACTAGGGGCTGAGTCAACCCAAGGAAAATGTGGGTGATGACCCTAGGGGCTGAGTCAACCCAAGGAAAATGTTGGTGATGACGCCACCTGCTTCTTCAGCGTTGACTCTGCACCAGGCCCTGTCCTGAAGGTTGATCTATAAGCTCCTTCAAACCTCCCCACAGCCTGCTGAGATTGAGACAACTGCATGGCTATTTTACAGATGGATGTACTGAGAGAAAAGTCAGGAAATTTTAAGTCTAAGTGACCCAGAAAGGGCAGAGCCAGGACTTGAGCCCAGGCGCGGGCTCTGGGGCCTCACCACATGACTTTACATTCTTTCTTTGGAGATCAGAACTCATGGGTAGTAGTCGTTCTTATTTGGACTAAGCTTTTAGCAATTTGGATGATGCTTTCCATTAAATAAGAAAAATAAATAAATGGCGCTTGTTACTCAGCCTAAAATTGTAGCGATAATACTCCATGAGCACTTACTGTGTACCTGTCTCTCTATGAATTTACTCAGTCGTCACAACCACCCTGTGCGGTGGGTCGTGTTGCTAATCCCCACTTTACAGGTGGGGAAACTGAAGCACCAGGAAGTTAAAGGATTCATTTCATGGCCCTGGACAGATCCGGACTTAACCATCCCTCCTGCCATTGAGTAAAACACACAGCCTCCCCCCTCCTGCTGCACACATCCCTGACCTTCCGTTTTCCCATCTGTCAAATGGGACGATCATGGCACCCACTTCCCAGGTATGTTGAGCAGTAAGTGAGATGATGGAGGCCACGCCCCTGGCTTGCAGTTCGGTGTAGAGTAGTTGGTGGGCTTGGGGTGGACTCTGGACCCACGTGCTTGCCTGCACTTAAGCAGCTCTGTGATTTGAGCAAGGCTCTCAGGTCTTGGTTACCTTAGCTCTAAAGAGGGGATGATAAACTTCTTATGGGGTCTTTGAAAAGTCAAAGAACTTAGTGCCTGAGCACAGAGGAGACAGACAAGCCTAAATCCACACTCATAGTGTGCCCAGACTAGCAAGGTTTTCATGCCAGTTTATGATGAGAAGGGTGACAATAACAATAATGACAGCTAACATTTTTTGGTCACTTACTGTGTGTCAGGCCTAAATGTTTTAAATGTTTTAAATATTCTAAATGTTTTACACAGATCATCTCAGAAAATCATCCCAACCTCTCTCTAAGGTGAATATTATCTCCATTTTACAGAAGAAGAAATTGAGGCACAGAGAGGTTAAGTCATTTGCCCAACATCACAGAGCTAGAAAGTGGCTGAGCCACTCCACTCTGGAACAGTTGGCCCTGTGAGGGGAGGAAGCTGAAGACTGGCTAGATCTGGCCAGGTGCCCCCTCCTCATTTGCCCCCATTGATCCTTGTCACCCCTCCCCAGTGCTGCATAAACATCAGGGTTATCATTAACCAGGGACTGCTGGTGACCCAGGGGTGCAGGTCCAGGAGGCACAGAGGCTGAGAGCTCAGACAGACAGGGATGAAGGAGATTTTCGAAGCCCCCTGGGTCCTCTGAGGCCATGTGCACACATAAATGTATGTGTCAAGGCTTCACCGGTGCCTGAGTGTGAGCATACTCACCTGCCCCTGACTCTGTGCCCTGCAGAGCCAGGGATCTGTGCCAGCTTCTGGCCTCTGCGACAGGAAGGGGGCAGTTTCCGTCCTTAGCCACAACGGAGATCCTGGGAGAATTACCTCCACTTTGCTCAGCCTTGGTTTCCTCATCTCTAAAATGGAGTTAATAATAAGACACTGTCAGGTCAAAGACCTCTGAGCCTGACCTGGGTTACACGTACGACTTCAGCGATTTCTCCATTTTATAAGATAAGAAACTGAGGCACAGAAAGGTCACGTGGCTGCTCAAGATCACAACCAGGAGTGGCAGAGTCCAGACCTGATTTCAGATTTCTCTGTCACCAATGCCTTGTGAATTCAGCTTGCCTATGAAGACAGCGGGTATGTCGTCTTCCAGGAGGTCCTAGAGGCCACATGAGCTCAGGGAAGGGGAGATTCAGGGTTAAACACATCAACCCATGTCTGGTGGTGTCGGTGTGCAAACACAAGCATGTAGGCCTATATGTCTGTGATTAGACAGCCAGCTATGTGCCTGTTCGCTTGTGCATGAAGTTGTGAACACAGGTTTGTGTGTCTTTGTGGTTATGTGTAAGAGTAGCTGGCTGTATGGCTGTGTCCTTGACAATGTTTCTGCTGCTCTGTGTGCCTGTGTAAATGTGTGTGTTTGTGTACATGTGTACACAAGTTTGTGGGCCTTCACATCTCTGAGACTGTGTAGGAATGTAGGAGTGTATTTATGTGTGGCGTGTGTGTATCGGTGTGTTTCTGTACCACTGGTTGTGAGTGTGTTTTCACAATAGTGTGTATTTTTGTGACCAATTGTTAGAAGGGACAGTTGTGTGGCTGTGTCTTTGATTGTGCCTCTACATGGGTATCTATTTGTGTGTATTGTGTGGGTTCACAAATGTGTTTGTCTTGGTGTTTTGTGACTGGCGTTAAAAAGTGCTGACTGTGTTTGCGTATTTGGGTTTTCGGGTTTCTCTGTGGGTGTGTTATTCTGTGTGTCTGCCTCTGTGTTTGTATGTATGTACATATATGAAATTGTGTGTTTTTGTGCCTGTTTACCTGGGTCTGTGGGGTTTGTGTGTGTGTGTGTGTGTGTGTGTGTGTGTGTGGTGCGCCGCTGGGAGACCTTACAGTCAGCAGCAGACAAAGCACACACACAGACACAGACACACACACACACACACACACAGACACACACACACACACACACACACACACACACACACACACACAGTGAACTGACTCACACACACAGACACACATAGACACACACACACACAGACACACACACACACACACACACACACACACACACACACACACACACTGAAATGTTCCCCAAACAGTCAGGGGTCAGCGGGCTCCTCAACACTCAGGCTTGGTGACCTGGGGCCCATCTGGCCTCGATTCTCAGGAAGCAGCACAAAAACTGACACCCACCCTCCAACCAGACGTCAGAAGCTCCCTGAGGTGGGCCCGAGGCATGTGTGTGCGGGTGTGTGCATATGTGCGTGTGTCTGCAGTCTGGTCCTCCCCAGCTTTCCTCAGCACGGCTGCCTATGTTCTTCCAACTGAGCTGAGAGAGTTAACCTAGCGGGCCAGGCCGGTCTGGGCTGGGGGCCGCCCCCTGGCCCCCCTCCAGCCCCGGCTCCAGTTACAGCTGCTGGTTGGGGAGGGCATGGCTGGGGTGGGGCTGGGAGGAGAGACTGCTAGGGCGGTGCATCCAGCTCTGAGCCAGGGGGTCCAAAGTGCTTACCCCGGTCACAGCCGGACTTGGGGGCCTTCTCTCAGCAGGGGACAGCCTGATTGGGGTGAGCGTCTCCCACCCCTTCCCTCCCGGCCTCACCCTTCCTTCGCCTGGCTGGGCTGCCTATTTTGGGAGCAGGAGTGGCCAGCCCGTGGCTTCCCAGGCAGGCTGGACTCAAGAGGAAGGGAGTTGTTCTTGGGACATTGGGGTTCCCCTAAGGGCGAGAGTGTAGGTGCAACTCCTCCCTCCTCTGCTGCTGTCCCCTGGCTGGGTGTGGGCTGTGGACACTCACGTGTGCAGGTCGGGTTGCGTCACTGTTTGGGGGCACTAGAGGCCTAGATGAGAGTAACGCCTGCTCGACCGTGTCTCCGTCCCATGTCCTGCTCCAACCAGAAGTGTGGGGAGCGGGCGCTGTCTCCATTCCAGCCCCACTGTGTGTGTGTGTGTGTCCTTGCCCTTGGCATCTGCCTTCTTTCTCATGTCGCTCGCCTGGTGTTGTCCACTTATGAAAGATGTCACCCAGAGGTGGGCGGAGGGGATGTTTTTCCATTTTCTCATCACTTCCAGGAGAGAAGGGGTGGCCTTTTCCCCAGCAGGGTTGTATGTGACCCCAAGGAGGAGAAGGAAGGCTGTTGCCATGGTGGCCTGTGTGAGGCAAATTCCTCCAGAGTGAAGTGGGAGATATTTATACCCAGGGTCAGGCAGAGAGCGGCTGCCAGCGGCCAGAGCAGCAGAGCTGGATATTGCAGACACAGTGAGGCCGTGGTGTGCGGGCAAGTGGGCCTTTGGGCGTGTCCTGGCTGTCTTGTCCCTTGAGGTGTATCTTGCTGTCCACCTGGGTAGGGTGTGGTCTCCTGCCCTCTCCACTAGAGTAGGTATGGGGAACCTGGAGCCTGCCGTGGGGGTTGGGGGGCAGGCCTACAGATGTCTCACCCCTGTCCTTGCTGCCATGTGATCCCCCATTGTGTGGTTGTTTTGGTGACACTGTGTCTCATGAAGCAGGGGCTGCTCCTGTTTCTGAGGGTGGTCAAGCTGGATGACAAATATTTTTGGAATTAAGTCCCTCAAATGTCTCTGACTTAACCCCTTGGATTCAGGCCTCAACGGTGGGGGAATGAGGGTACACATTTCCTGACCCTTGGTGTCCTCCAGGACAATGGCATCTCTTGACCACATCTTGGTTCTCTGTGTGGGTCTCCTGACCACGGTCAGTGCAGGTGAGTTTGGGGATGCAGCCCACTACCCACCTCAGCCCCAAAGAGGGCAGGGGTCCAGGAAACCCTCCCTGCAAGAAAACCAAGTTGGAGAATCAGTTGGAACACTGGGAAATTGGTCTCACCTGGGGTCCAGTCACAGGCTGGTGTTCGGGGGAGGGGAGAGGGCGTCCAGATCAGGCAAAGGTAAAGGGTGGGGTGGTGGCTGCTTTCCCGAGAATTATGGAATCACAGACAACCTGTAATGAAATGGGGAGCTTGGACAGCTGGGTGCCCCCAGCCCCACCCAGGATGGTGCAGAGAGGGCGGCTAAGACCTAGAGGATGCATAGCCTACTCAGGGTCCAACTGTTCCCGAACTCTCAGCCCAGAAAAGTAGAGCCCCCGAAAGGGTCTCTTTACACCCCTCGTTGTCTAGACTCCTAGGAAGCATCCAACCCCTGATTTCTCTCTTTCCAGAAGCTCCACAGGAACCCGACCCATTCACCTATGGTAAGGGAGGGAGGGGCATCGATCTTTGGGCGTTGGGGGGAGGTGGGCTGAGTTTGCCTGTCCTGCCCTCGTGGTCTCTTCCTATCGCTCTCTCAGTGCTTGTATCTGTCACTCTCCTTGGCTCTCCCCCTCTTGATCTGGCTCCCTGACTCTGTCTTTATCTCTCCTTGTCTGCTTCTGTGTCTTTTTGTGTGTCTTTGTCTATTTAATCTCTCGTTGTCTCTCTGATTCTTTCTACGTTTACCTCTCCATATCCTATGGCCCCTTCTCTGCTGCTTTCTGACGTCTGCCCTCCTCGTCCTCTCCATCATCCTTCCCTGGTCCCTTGTTTCCTTCCTTTTCCCTGAGCTGCCCACCTACTTCCCTTCTTTCACTCTCATTTCCCTGAGCCGCCTCCTCCCTCCTCTCATTGATCGTCTTTCTCCTCTTCTCCCCATCCTTTCTCCTTGCTCCCTCCTCCTCATTCTGCCCCTCTCTTATCCTTCCTCCTCCCGTCCCTGTCCTTACCCTCCTCCCTGCTGCCCATAGACTACCAATCCCTGCGGATCGGAGGCCTCATCATCGCCGGGATCCTTTTCATCCTGGGTATCCTCATAATCTTGAGTGAGTACCCCTACAGCACGGCCTCCGCCCCGCATCTGCGGGTTTCCGCCTCCGCCCCTCGCTGTCTCCACCCTTGTCCCGCCCTGTTCCTGCTCCGCCCCATCCCGCCCCACCCCTATCCTCACCCTTGGCCCCGCCCAAGCCCCCGCGGCTCCGCCTCTCGCGAGCACCCGCTGAAGCAAGAGCGCCGCTGCGCGCCCGCCTAGAGCGGACTCTCAGACTTGTCTTCCCCCCACCCCCCCATCCACCCACCCACAGGCAGAAGGTGCAGGTGCAAATTCAACCAGCAGCAGAGGTAAGAGGCCGACCCAGCACTCATTCACCTACTGCGGTTCTACAGGGAAGTCCACCCAACCCGCAGCCAGAGACTCTTTGGCAAATTTGTATTAAGCACCTACTACGTGGCAAGCCCCAAGCCAGGTCCTGGGACCAAGCAGTAAATTAACTGCCTTCCGTGCCTGGCTGAGCTCCCAGCCTAGTGGGGGCGGTGGCTTTAGGTTCCAACAGCCCTACAAATATAAAATCACAAAGTGTGATAAGTGCTGTGAAAAAAGCTGCCGCGAAATGAGATCACTTTACTCAGTGGCCCAGTTTAGCTCAGAGTCTTGTTCCTAGCTCTTTGATTCATCTTTAAATAAAAATTTAAACCCAGGCAATGTACGAATACCTTCTCCATGTTAAAACAGTTATAGATGTCCCACGTGCCAGAAGCTGTTGCATTGTGTATTATCTTATTTACCCCTCACACCATGTCTCTGAGGTAGGTGCCGTTATTAACATCATTTTACAGATGAGGAAACCGAGGCACAGGGAGGTAAAATCACTTGCCCAAGATCACTCAACTAGAAACTGAGATTATCTCAAGGCAGTTGGCCCACAAGTCCCTTTGGTCATCCCTCCACCATCAACTTCCAGTCTCTTCCCCAGTACTCCGGGAAGTACTCACTGGTACCCGCTGGGAGCGCCTCCTGCCACACACTTAAAGGGCTCCTGGGTGTGCCTGATTTCCTGGCGGAACTGAGTCTGCTCCTCGCCCACCTTGGCCTCAGGGCACACCGGCCTGTGAAACCAGGGCTGCATTGGGGGACTCCTGGGAGTGGCTCTCTCTCTCCTTTTCCGTTCCCAATTCCTCTGCTTCTCTATTCTCAGGACTGGAGAACCTGATGAAGAGGAGGGAACTTTCCGCAGTTCCATCCGCCGTGAGTTTGGGGAAAACTTCTGGTGCTTGGGGGTGAGGGCTGTTTCCAAGAACCCCTCTACTGGTCCTCTCTGGGCTCGTGAAGGGGCTTGATCTCGAACCGGAGGGCGGGGAGTTTCTTTGCCTCCTACCCCTCGAGAGGAGCCGCAGTACCCCTCCTGATACCCGAACTCTCTGTGTTCCCCCTCAGGTCTATCCTCCCGCAGGCGGTAGAAACACCTGGCGTGATGGAACCCAGCCAGGTCTCGCAGCTTCCACTAGACTGGGGGAGGGAGGGGAGAGGAGGAGGGGGAGAAGGACTAAGATGGGAGGGCTGGGGGAGGCTCTCCTGCTTCTCATCCTTTTCACCCCCACAGGATTATCCTGGCACCTGACTCCTCCCACATACCACTGCGCGCCCACTGCCACCCGGACTGCGCTTTCCCCTAGCCCAGCCCCCACAGACTTCCAATAAAACGTGCTTTTCTCTCCCGACAGCGCTTTGTGGATGTCGGTCCCTCTGCGCGAAAGCCTGGGCGCCCTCTTGGCCCCGGCAGGGGGCGCCCCCATCATTGGGGAAGGGAG